GGTTGCCATATCTGACAGGGTAGGACAACCAATCCTCAGCTTTGGGCATTTGTTGCAGAGCGGCTGGGGCATCGACGCTGACTTGCAGGCCCGGGTCAACAACTCAGCTGGTGTTCAAATTCCTGTGACGTTTCAGAATCAGTCCATTGTCGTTCATGGCACAATCAGGGTGATGCAACAAAACTTGGATGAGCAGGATGTTTTGAATGTCAGGGCAATCCAAGCTGACGTGTTGGACAGCGTTATCAATGGACCGGTTGGATGGGAGCTGGATTCAAGAGGTTGTGGTATTGGCAGACATTTCTCAGATTGCCACATGGATCCACTGCTGGTCAAACCTGATTTGTCAGGTGAATTTTACAGGACAACGCTGATGGAGGGCAACGACAAGAAGTGGTATGTCACTGAGCTTTGTGAGAAGCTTGGAGATTTGATTCAACTGGATGCTGGTTTTCACGGTTTACATGGCAGACGAAATGTTATCACGTTCATTTCAGATGCAGAGAAAGATCCACGTGTTTTGGGTTTTACGTTGACAGATGGTGAGCCAGTGGTTTTTCCAGTGAGACAAGATGATGATGAAGATGCAGAAATTCCCGGTGACAGCTTGGAGGTTGAAGGCCAAGATATTCCTGAAGGGCAGGTCATTGTGCGTCCAAGCCCTGAAGATGAAGTCAACGTGAATGGAACAGTACTTCGATCTACAAGTGCTTTGGCAGCGCTGAGAGCAGGTTGCTGTTTCTACAATTTGTCCACTTCTGGTTCAAAACAAAAGTGCTTTCAACGTCTTTTGGATCATGCAAAGAAGCTGGATTTACAGATGATGACAGCAGCTGCAAAAGAGGCTCAGAGGCAACAAGGTCGTGAGGCATTGGCCCCGGTTTCAGCAGAAACTCCAACAGAGTATGAGCAGGCCAAGCACAGGCTAACTCACCTCCCCTATGCCAATTGGTGCCCAAGCTGCCTGGCGCATAGAGCCAGACCGACGCGCCACGAGAGGACAGGTGAGGCTCATGCGGGTGCTGTGCCTACAATTTCATTTGATTTCTTCTATACAAAGTCAGATGGAACATCTGGTCAAGAAGGTGATGCTCAGTCAGTGATTGCGTTGATTGTGGTTTGCAGCCACACCAATTTCATTTCGTGCATTCCTTTGGAACGCAAGTCTCAGCTGGATCATGCAAACAGACAGATGGTGAAGTTTGTGCAGATGTTGGGTCATGGTGAAATCATAGCCCATTGCGACAATGAGCCAAGCATTTTGCAAATCAAGAATCTGCTTGTGCGTACCCGGCAGGCAATGGGACTCAAAACCAGAGAGACCTCAGCCATTGCCTATGACAAGGGAAACAGACTAGCTGAAAACGCCATTGGGCGTGTTCGAGCGCCATGCAGTTTAATGCACAATCTGCATGGTCGCATTGGAGTCCAGTTGCAGACGTCGTCAGCAGTATGGTCTTGGGCTTTGCGCCACAGTGCCTGGTTGATTTCGAGGTTCTCAGTTGTGCATGGCGCTACAGCTCATGAACTTGCTTTTGGACGGGTTTTTACTGGAGAACTTTGTGAGTTTGGTGAACCTGTCTATGCATACACAATCCCTTTGTCCAAAGCTGCACCACGTTGGAAACGCATGATTTTTCTTGGGAAGGCTGAGAGTCAGAACAGCTTTGTATTGTTCGATGGGGAAGCAATTGTGTTGTCAAAGTCGGTGCGTCGAATCAGTTCGACAACTTGGCGCGCACACCTTGCTTACTACATATGGTTCAAATGCTACAGCTGGCAATACAAATCGGGATTTGGCCCCCGCATCTTGCATCACTGGGCTTGCCCAGTGTGTCTATATGTAACATAGTTTTGGTCGGGTGGGGGGGTGGTGCAAGTTGCTCTACCGTGAATGTCTCGCTCCTCCAACATTGGCATTCCTCCTCTTCTGGCTGGACCTCAACAAGTTTGCAATCTTGAGGTTTACAATTTCGGCAGTTCAGATTTTTTTGATTTATTGCTGTGTTGAAATTTTTCCTGGAAGATGCGTGAAGTTCTCAGCTGCGCTTGGGAAAGATCGCTTTATTTGTTGTTTGGTTGTTGATGTATTAAAACAAACAAAACAGTTCCGATGTCAGTCTTGCTTTATCTCTGTGGATCTGTTGTCATGTCGCTTCATTGACGGAATCTTACTGGAAGGCTTTCAATTTCTGATTTGCGATTTATTTTTCTGAACAACTCCACACTCACCACAATTGGATTGGATTGGTCAGGAATCAATGTCATTTCTGGAGAGCACTGGCTCTAATTTCAGGTAGGCTGGGGCGCGTTGCAATCCAAGTAGCTTGGACGTAGGTTCATGCTGGGGTGCCATGGATGGACATGCGGTTTGGCCTGCAATAGACGCTGGCATTTTAGCTCACTTTGAGAAGCTGTTTGTCACCCCAGTGCGTTTGGACGCTGCTTTTGACTGTGAAGAAGATTGCAATGATTTACTTCTCAGTTCTTTTCCAGATATTTTGGATGAACTTCGTCTGGACACAACTGCATTGATGTTGATTTGGAAACAGGAGAATCAAAGGTCCTTGAAGAGGTTTCGACGGTCCGTTGCAGTTGATAGCATGTTCAGACTGCCTCAGCCTGGTTACATGACTGTTCAAGAGCAATTTCAGCATTTGACCAAAACGAGTGTTCATTGCATTTTGGAGATGCATGCAAAGCGGCGGCAACGGAAATACAAGGAGGACCCACCAGATGTCAGAAACAAACGTTTTGAAACTGAGCGCAAGAAGTATGCATTGCTTTTGGCACAAGTGATGATTTCTGCGAAGCTGCCAGTTGCAGCTCTTGTAGCGACGCTGGACGATCCTCGAGCTGGATGGGTTCACATCTTTGCTGCAAGGAGAGGGAACACTCTCAAGAACAGGTACAAATCTTGGAAGCCATTTGAGAGATGGTTGGAGACACACAGAGGTTACTTGTATCCTGCAGGTGTCAAGGATGCCATTGACTACATTCAGCATCGAGTTGATGAAGGTTGTGGACGTACAATTCCTGATTCCTTGAATGCGGTGTTGACACTGCTTGAACAGCTTGGCCGTGTTGACGAGGGATCCAGGATCTCGTCAGATCCCTTGTGGAAGGGCCACGTGAAATCGTGGTCAGCTGAACTGGCCTCTGAGGCCCCGCCGAGGAAGCCAGCAGAGATGTACACAGTTGCAATGGTGTTGGCTTTGGAGCTTACTGTAGCTGACGAACAGGGCCCAATTTTTCAAAGGGCTTTGGCATGGGTTGTTCTGTGCATGGTGTGGGGTGCCATGAGGTGCGATGACGTACAGGCAATTCTGCCATACAGATCTGTGTTGTCAAACTATGGTTTGAGGTTGGTGCTTGGAAGATCGAAAACAACTGGTCCAGACAAAGCACAGAAAGAAGTGGGTGTCCACATTTTTCGGACAACATCACTTTCAGGTGAAGACTGGCTGAAGATCGGTTATGACATTTGGGAATCAGATCAATTCAAATTCAGGCGGGATTACGTGGTGATGGAGCCATCAGCAGACTGGGAAAAGGTCAAGCGGAAATTTGTCACCCCCAGTGGCCTCAGCTCACTGATTGCCAAGCTTCTCAGCCAGCTGGCGGCACCACGCCAAGTGGCATACGGTTGGGAGCTCATGCAACATGTTTTACTCTTGCCTGATGGACTTGAGATGCATTTCAGTGGTCACAGCCCTAGAAATTTTGTGACTTCAGTTGCTGCTGCAATTGGCTTTACAAGAGACGAACGTGCATACTTGGGTAGGTGGAGCATGGGAATGGTTGCTTCTGAAGAGTATGTACGCACTTCAAAGCAGGTAGTGTTCAAGATCCAAAAGGCTGTGAATCGCTCCATCGTTGAGGGGCGAGAAGAGGTCTACTTTGAGGACGAAGCGTTGCAGAGGCTATGTGACGCTGCCCAGACCTCAGGTGCAAATCCCAACAGGATCAAGAAGAGACATTCTTTGATGTCAGATAGGTCTGGTAGACATTCGTTGGGTGGCATTTTTCCAACACTTGCCGTCTTCGTTGATGATTGGCAGGACTTGGATGAAACTGAGGAATCCAAGGTGTTGCTTGCCGATGATGTGGCCAGACAGGCTGCGAAGGAACGCACGTCTGTGGCTCAGACCAAGAAATATTTCATCACAATTTCCAGGAGGACTGCTTTGAGGCGTTTGCATTTAGATGGATGTTTTGTCAAGCCTGATCGATGTTGTGAAGTGCTGCATCTTGACGAAGTCTCTTCAGAAGATTTCGATTCCATTTGCCAAGCTTGCAAACGTAAGATGGTTGCTGAGTGCGGAAGGGATGACCCTTGTGAGTCCTCCTCAACGGCCTCGTCGTCGTCAACGGCGTCAGAGCTCAGTGCAGATGCAGCATTTGGAAATGATTAGTTGATGTGCAGCTGACTTGAAGATGTCAGAATGCAGGTTGTTTGAAGGTAGTTTCATGTGCGTTTAGACGCTGTTCCTTTTCACCTCTGCTGTGAATTTGGTTTGAGATTTCATTGGAACCGTGCAGAAAAACTCGCCGCAGTGGCAGTCAAAGGGTGTGGGCCAGTGACTGGAGCAGTCAAGGTTTTCATTTGGATTGTGATTTGAGTTTGTGGATTTTGAGTTTGATTCTTTTGCAGTGATGTTTCTTGAGTGCATCAGTTGAGAGACTTGAGACGTCGTTCAGACGATGTCACATGAGTTGCCAGTGATTTTCAGTACGTTTGTGTGATGGCTCAGACCTGAGGGTGCCATCATGTCATGAAACAGGGTTCAGACCTTCATGACTTATTCACTCTGCAACAGTTTGTTGTTCATTGCATGTTGACAGGTTTGTTTCGTTGGCAGGACATCAGATGGTTTTCACTCGAGTTGCATTTTGTGATGTGACTGTCTTTTACCACTTTTAGACAGGTTCTCATTCATTGCTTTGTGCTTGTGTTTTTCGGTGATTGTCGTTGAAATCAGACGACATTGCGTGCAGCGATGGATCCTGACTTACAAAGGGAGTTTGTGAGAGACAACATGGACGCAGATCTTCAATTCATCTTAGGTGAATCTGGAGTAGAGCTTGAAAATCAAGCGGCCATTGCCCGTCACTACGGCTCCCTTCGAAAGTTCAGTGCACTTGGTGATGATCGTGCATCAATACGTACAGCTTGTTTACACGACTTTGCAATTCCGGCTGATACGCCCCAAGCGAGAGCCCAGACAGCTTCAGTGGTAGCAGCATGGGAAACGGCAAAGGAATACATGGCAAAGGAGATTGAACTCAAAGCCGAGGCCAAAATTTTGGGCCAACCGAGAGTGTTGCAAATACATGAGAGGCAAGCCATGATTCGTGCAGTTGAACTGGTACATGGATCATTGAATGATGCTGAATGTCCCTCTTCGGACTACTTGTCGATTAAAGCTGAAGAGACGGAGTGCAATGAGCCGACAGCGGCGCCATTGGATGAGATTGTGAGTAAACAAGCGTCCACTAACTCTCAGATACAATTGGCAGTGGACACAACAGGGCACATTAGGGTGACAAGGACAAAGACAAAGGCCAAGATGCCTTCTTCAACTGAAGAGTACAGGCGTGTCATGAAAGTGGAGATGTTCTCATGGCTTTGCATGTCATCAAGGTACAAGTCAAAACACTGGTTACATGGTTTGACATCGACCCCGTTTCTCAAGTTCACGGAGTTCATCCTGGGCGACAGGGTGTATGGATTACAGATACCATCATCCACGGGGGACAACAGTCAACAGAGGGTCAAACCAGACTGGACAGTGATTTTGGCGTTTGAGCACAAGCTCCGAAAGGAGGCAATGAAGAAGGTCCACAATGGACACACATTGGCGGACGCTTTGGAGGCAGTCATTCGTGACCCTGACTTGAAGGAGGCCTACTTCACGACACCAATGGCCTTGAAGGCATCTATGCCAGAGCCTCAGCCCTTCAAATATCAGCGCTTCAACAACAAAGGAAGCTTTCGAGGCAAGCAGTTCTCCACTTACTCCAAAGGAAAAGGCAAGGGATCCAAAGGAAAGACAAAGGGCAAATCCATGGACACGAGGCTCAAAGGATTGAGTTTAGCATGGAGAACGCCAGATGGAAGGGAGTTGTGCTTCGCTTGGAACACAGGTGATTGTGACGGAAGCTGTGGAAGAGTTCATCAATGCAGGGTGAAAGGATGTTACGCCTCACACAAGGCAGTTGATCATTCCAAGGCTCAGTCATCCTCTTGACATGCTTGCTAGGTTTACCTAGTTGACTGTTCCGGTGGCACTCGTGCCTGGGCTGGTGGTGGGGTTGTTGGTGGCTCTTGCCTTGCTGTGGCTTTGCCCCGCTGCACTGCCTGGGTCGGGGTTGCTGGCTGTGGGGTTTGCCTCACCTCCTTCTTGTCTCCTGTCTTCGTCTCCTGGGGTTTTTCTCCCTTGCTGGTTCGCTCGCGCCCGCGTTGCTTCTCTCTCCTCGCGTCCTTTGGTTTCTTGGCATGGATTTCTTGAGACCCTCGACTGACTTTGTCGCGTGCTTTATTTGCCTCCTTTTTTTTGGAGGAATTTACTTCAGTTTGTTTGGCACTGTTTTACTTGTTTTCTCAGAGTTGATGTGACGTTTCTTGATTTCAGGTTTGCACTTCGTTTAATCTCAACTTTGTCTGAGAATCTGGCTCAGAAAAATTTGGTTATGTAGGGGGCGCTGAACTATCCCGAACGGGACGCAAGTTGGCAACCCATGGACTGGACTGAGCTTAATGCTCTTGGACCCCGTTTTACTGAACATCTGGTAAAACATTACAAAGAGCCACGGATTTTCTTTCATGCATTCGAAAATGAGGAGGATGCCTACAGTCTCGTTAGAGAGGTTTTTGGTAATGAGGGAGGTGCAGATTTGGCAGCAGAAGGTGTCAGGCGCCTCATGTCTTGGAGGGACAGCATGCAAAGCCGTTCAAAGCGTGAACAGACACGTCGATGCAACCTCAGTTTTGAGTTCATTAGGCATCCTGGTGCGCAGTTTGGGCGCAGTTTGCAAGAAGAGTTTGAAGACATTGTGAGAGAGAATCCTGCTTACATTTTGGACATTGCCAAACGTCGTTTGAAGAGGAAGAGAGAGACTAGTGGAACGCAGAGGGCAGATGTTGAACGTGAGCAACGCAATGTGTATGCACTCCAATTAGCAGAGATATTGAAAGAAGCTTGCCTTCCTATTGTTTTTTAATTGGAGATGCTCCAGGACCCTGGGAAGGCTTGGATAAGGATTTTTGGATCGAGGCGGTCAAAGACGCTTCGAAATCGCCTGCGTTCATGGAACAAGTTCCGAGATTGGCTCTTGGCTTTGTCAGGTACGGTCTGGCCTAAGACCCTAACACCCTTGATTGCATATGTGGAAGAAAAGATTCAAGATGGTTGCAGTTTTTCCTGTGTCAGCGAGTTTCATGCGTCGTTCACCATTTTGGAGCAACTGGGGAAGGTGCCAGAGGACAAGAGGTTGTCGAATGACCCAGTTTGGTTGGGCCATGTTGCGAGCTGGAAGTTGGAGCTAGAGCTTGAGTCTAGGCCACCTAGGAGTGCAAAACCGTACACAACTGCCATGTTGCTTTCTTTGGAGATTTTCGTTTTGGACTTGGATCAAGAGCTTTATTTTCGATTCATTGCATGGGTGGCTTTGATTGCATGTTGGACTGCAATGAGACTTGATGACGTACAAAACATGTTGCCAGAAACCATGAAGTTGTCAAAAAGGGGATTCAGCTGCAGGTTGAGTCGTACAAAAACAACAGGTCCGGGCAAACTTCATGGCCAGGTAGCTGTCTTTGTGAGGCGAGATGCTACCTTGAGTGGCTACGACTGGCTTGGGACTGGCTTGGAGCTTACCTCACATGAGAGTTTTCAATACAAAAGGGATTACTTGGTTCCTGCTCCAAATGCTGCCTTCGATGGTTTTGTGCCGAAGATTGTAGAACCTCCGAGCTTGTCCATCTCAATTCGTATCGTTTTGGGCAGGCTTGGTACCCCGAAGTTCCAAGATGGTTACTGGCGTGTGAACATGAGCATGCTCCTGGCGCCAGGTGATGTTTTGCTTTTCTGGACAGGTCACAGCCCACGCCATTTCCTGAACCAAGCGGCCCTGGCCTTAAACATCAGCAAAGAGAGGAGAGACTTTCTAGGAAGGTGGTCAATTGGGAAGTCGGGCAGTAACACCTACATTCACACGGCGCGTCAAGTCGTCGAAGAGGTTCAACACCAGGTCGTGAGCTCATTGGTCAATGGGACTGCTTGCATTGATGAGTCAGAATTGTTGGATGAACTGGCAAAATTCTCAGATGAACACAACACGGTGGGCCATCGCATCCGCCGTCGTCATGCCCAGCAGCTTCACCGGGACTTGCAGCAGGGACCTTTCGATGAAGGTGAGTCGGGAGCTGAGGAGCCAGATGTAGATATGTCAATTGATACGGAAGACCATTTTCAGGCCCTTCAACCGCAAGGTTCGCAGGCAAAGTATTTTGTGACAGTTTCCAGAAGGACAGGGGTGAGGCGTTTGCATGCTTACTTCAAGTGCCCAGTCAGGACACAACGATGTTTGGAGACATATGATGTGGAAAGAGTGGATGAAGAAACATTTGATGCAATGTGTGCCATTTGCAAGCGTCGTTTGAAGGTTGATCAGGGCGAAGCCCATTCAGATTCAAGCAGTACCTCTGGAGATTCATCCTCCACAGAGGTGGGTGAAGAGGCAGACAATGAAAACGATTAGACGTAAAAGAAATTGCAGACGCCGCTTTGGATGGAGAGTCAAACATTCAGTTGCAATTCATGTTATTTCAGCTTCAGTAGTAGGGGTGTTGCCTTTTCAGTTTCAGACTCAGCGAAGTTTCTCAACACCAACCAAGTTGAGATTCAGCCTCACTCAGTTTCAGAAACCAGCTGGGATATCATCCGCAGCACGGCTCATTTTGAGCGGCTCATTCAGGGCCACAACCTTAGACCTCCGTTAGTGTCAGTTCTTTGCATTGATTTTCAACTCAGTGTTCACCAACTTGGATGTTGTTCACCTTGCTCTTTTGAGATTTTTGGCAGTGAGATCTTTTGATTTGTTTTGTTTTACAATGCTGCATTCACTTGGCCTGTGGGTTTTAGACCAGTTGCCCGGCACGTGCGGCAATGGCTCTCGATGATGTTCAGAGACGTGAGTACCTGCAGAAGAATGTCACTGCTGACCTTCAGTATATCTGGGACGACTCAGAAGTGAGTTTAGATCTTCAACATAGGTTGGGGCAGCACTACAAAAATCTGCGGGTGTTTGTGGCACTGGCCGAGAGTTCAACAGAGCTTCGAGAAGCACTCAAAACAGACTATCAGCTTGATGCAGCACAAGGTGCTGGACAGAGAGCAGAAGTCGCCAGAATCATTCCAGCATGGACGGCAGGTAGACAACTCTATGAAAAAGAAAATGAACTTCAGGCCGAAAGCAAGGTAATGGGATTACCGAGATCCCTTCAACATAGCGAAAGGTTGGCTATGCTTCGAGCGGTCGAAACTACTCTGGGAACACTATCAGAGCATGATGTGCCTTCCAGTGAATATTTGGCCTTGAAGGTCGAAGAGTGTGAAAATGGAGAAGTTACAGCGGCTTCCTTGGATGAAATCACAAGCAAAGCCCACAAGAACACAGCCTCCTTGCAGACTTCACTGGACACATCGGGCCATGTGCGAGTGGTCAAGACGAAAACGAAGGGCTCACTTCCTTCGAACACAGAAGAGTACCGCCAAGCAATGAAATTGGAAGCAGTCACTTGGTTGTGTATGGCATCGAAGTTTAAGGCAAAGCACTGGCTGGCGGGATTGAAGATGGAACATTTCCTCAAGTTTGTCGATTTTATCCTTGGGGACCGGGTCAACGCAATCAAGGTCCCAGTGGACAATGGTCAGCAAGCGGTCAAGCCCAACTGGGCATTGGTGCTGCAATACGAGCATCGGCTGCGCAGAGAAGCAATGAAACTGGTGAATCGTGCAGAGGCCACTTTGGCAGAAGCTCTGACACGTGTGACGAAGGACCCAGACCTGAAAGAAGCTTTCTTCACCACACCTTTAGCCCTGACCACGACGGAGACACCCCAGAAATTTGCAAAGTACAACTCAAAGGGCCACCACGATGGCAATTACAAGGGCAAAGGAAAAGGAAAGGGTAAGCAATTTGGAAAATCCGGCAACAAAGGGGGCAAATCGTACAACAAGGGCAAACATGGAGATTTAAGCCTGGTGTCGCAAACCCCTGATGGCCGCGACATATGCTTCGCATACAACAGCCAAGGATGCGCAGGAAAGTGCGGAAGAGTACATGTGTGCAGAGTCAAGGGTTGCTACGGTGACCATGCAGCACGTGAACACCATAAAATGGCAAGCTCAGGTAAGAAGCCTGAGTGACAGGCGGAGCCACAGCAGCATCCATGTCAGCGTAAACTCCGTGTGCTGTATTTGTTTTGTGGCCAACAGCGGAAAGCTGACATCAATCATTTTTTGCATGTACAGTGTGGCACTCTCGGTTTTGACCTGTCAATAAAAGAAGTGGACATCGAACGTTCGGAAGCTGATGATTTGTTGCAAATGTCACTCTGGGAACAAATTTGGAATGAGATTGAAAATAATTTTTGGGATGTGGTGATCCTCACACCACCTTGCAATACATTCTCAAGAGCACGCTGCCGCGCATTGGGGGCCCCTGGGCCGCCCCCCTTGAGGAACGTGACGCATCCATGGGGATTCCCTTGGCTGACCGGAAGCAATTGGGACTTGATTCAAGACCACAATTTTCTGGTGAACCATTGCTTCAAAACTATTCACAAGTGCATCGCCAATGCAACCGATTTTCTTTTCGAGCATCCCGAAGACTTAGGTGTCACCAATTTGGGAGAGCACCCAGCAAGTGTGTGGCAATTGGCCGAGACAAGACAGTTGGTGGAAGAGTTTGAGGCCATTACATTTGCAATTTTTCAATGTCACTTTGGGGCAATGTCACCCAAACCAACACGTTTTATGACCTCTTTGCACGGTGCCAAGCAATTTCCACACCAGGGGCTGCCCCAATTTGACTCAGACAGACGATACATGGGACCATTGCCGGCCTCCTGTACCCACACTTTTCATGTCCAGAAACTGATTGGAAAAGAAAAAGGTAAATGGAAAACAGCGGCAGCAGCGGCCTATCCACCAGGCCTCTGCAAATGGTTAGCTGCCCTCGTCGTCTCACGAATGGGGGTCACGAACTCTGAGGCCAGCAGGGAGCAAGAATCAGAATCAACAACCTCAACTTTGCCGGACATGCCAAAGCCACCCTCACAGGTTTCAAGCTCAGTGCGTGAGATGACAGCTAATGACACTGACAAACCAGATCAGGAAACCACAGCTGAGCCTAATCACTTTGAAAGCAATGGAGGGTCGGAACTTCACAGGGGACAACCTATGGAGATGGACTGGGCTGGCAGACGCAAACCACTGGTGGACGGCTTTGGTCTTTGTTCGCCGACATTGTGGAACCCAGCTGACCGAGGAGCACATATTTGCTCAGGAGGTCAAGACTTTTGCAAATCAATTTTTGGAATGGTCTCGAAGTTTGTCACGGAAAAGCTTGGAGACTTGAGGTTGGCAGCTTTCAGACTGGGCCTAGGGAAGATCGAGACCTCACCCTTTTCGGAACAGGATTTGGACGATTTGAGGAAAGAATGGGCTTCTTTGCTGCCCTCCAGGTCAAAGTCCCTGGAGATCCCCGTGCGCCAACCTTTCTTGCTGGGTATGATTTCGCAGTCTTTGGAGAAGGTAGAAGATCCAGATTACAAGATTTTTATGCATGGCAAGGATTCTTTTTGGACTGTGGTCCCAGTGGGTTACGATGAGCCCCTCCCGAGGACCCCGGATGTCTTTCCTCGAAAAGAGAAGGTGAGACCGCTGGATGAGTCAGAGTACAACAATTTGGCTTGCAACTACCGTTCGGCCCGAGAGATGTCGGAAGAGCTGGAAAAGAAGTTTAGGGAAGAAGAGGCTTTGGGGAGAATGATCCCGACCACTTTATCAGCTTTGCAATCAAAACACCCTGATCGAACCCCTTTGGTGGCAGCGATGGGGGCCATCAAGAAACCGAATGGTGATGTCAGACCGTTGCATGACGGTACTCATTTCGTCCAGCTTAATAACAATATTTGCTTCCAGGACCAGTTGCAATACCCTGGACTCGAGGATGCTGCTGCAATGATACGTTTGGTGGAGGATGACAAGGAATCTCTTTTCGCGATGTCGGCAGATATCAAAGCTGCACACCGCCTGGTGAAGATCCGGGAAGAGGACTGGCCTTTGTTGGGGTGTCGGGCTCATGACGACGATAAGACCATCTGGATCAACACCGTCGGAACATTTGGGGTATCATCTGCGAGTTACTGGTGGGCACGCCTCTTCGCCGGAATTGGACGACTGGTTGCCTACATCCTGGGACAGGAGAATTGGTTTCAATTGGTTTACGTTGATGATTTGCATCTCACCTGCCTGGGGCCACGCAAGTTTCTTGTTTTGTGGACGGCCTTGGCGCTGTACGAGATTTTGGGCACACCTTTCTCATATGCCAAGTTTTCAGGCGGCCTTCAAGTCTGCTTCGTGGGGTATTTGCTGGATTACCGTGTTTGCCGTTTGGGCATTACCCAACGGAGGGGAGCTTGGCTGGTTTCTTTCATCGATGAGATGTTTGCTTCGAAAGGAACGATTTACATGAGAAGGTTCAATGAGTTTCTGGGCCGCCTTGGCTTCGTCTCTAGGGTATTGCTTTGGTTGAAACCTTTCCTTGCCCCTTTGTATTCGTGGAGCGCAGCGCTCGACCGGGGTACGGTCGCCAAGTGTCCCAAGCTGGTGATGTTGGTTTTGAGATTCTTGCAGTTGCAGCTGAAGGACTGTACCTACATGCATTCATGTAGCCGCCCTACCGTTTTGCCACAGGAAGCCTTTAGGACTGACGCCAAGTGCGCCAAGGGTAAGGTCGTGCTGGGTGGACATCATCTTCAAACGGGTCAGTGGTTTTCCATCACCCTTACAGAAAAGGAAGTCCCTTACTTGTTCAAAAGAGATGGGGAGACACAATGGGCGTCAACGTCCGCAGAGCTTCTTGCGGTATTGGTTGCTTTGGTTTTGTTTGGATTTTTGGAGACAGGTAGCCCTGGGCATGTTGTTCCTTTGGTTCTCACTGCGGGAACAGATAATCTCGCCAACCAGTTCCTTCTCCGGAAGGGGCTTACAACCAAATGGCCGTTATGTATTATTTACATGCAGTTGACTGAATTTTTGATGGCAAAGAATGTTTGCGTGGATTTGCGGTGGTGCCCTAGGGGCGAGAATACGCTGGCAGATGCTTTGACGAATGAAGATTTCACGGGTGTTGATTTGAAGAAGCGTTTGGTTTGCGAGTGGGGAGATTTTCAATTTCACCTCATCACTCGTCTCTGGAACGAACGCGAAGGCTACCTGGACAAGGACATGCTGAGGTCCACTGCGCAGATTGTGAACCTGGGCAAATTTGAGAAATCTGACTGGTAGATGAAGGAATTTCTTTTCATACCTTTTTCAATTCAGCTTCAGCTTCAGACTCAGTGTAGCACTCCCATTTCAGTGCTTCAGAATCAGCCCCGGCGTCTCGCTACGTTGGGGAGCCATTTGTCCTCGACTTGGGACTTTGGATCAAGGAACGAACATTTTCCAGATGTCCGAACCAATTTGGATGTGAGAATAGGTTTGGGTCTCAGCGACCTTTGGGAGTGCTACAGGATGGCTTGAGTGCGATCCACTGTTGGAAAAAGATTTGATCGTGCGAGTGATTCCGAATCAAGTTTCAGTTTACAGACATGTGGATCGCTTCATGTCGTTTTTCCCTTTGGGTTCTGGTTGTCGTTTTTTAGTTGGTAGGATGTTTTAAGTTTTGGTTTCTGTTTCGCGTAGGATTTTGTCGCGCGTTTCGCGTTTCTTTGTGAGCTTCGCTCCAGGCCTCCCCGTTGGCTCGAGTCAGAGGAACAGGCTTGCTAGGTTTACCTAGTTGACTGTTCCGGTGGCACTCGTGCCTGGGCTGGTGGTGGGGTTGTTGGTGGCTCTTGCCTTGCTGTGGCTTTGCCCCGCTGCACTGCCTGGGTCGGGGTTGCTGGCTGTGGGGTTTGCCTCACCTCCTTCTTGTCTCCTGTCTTCGTCTCCTGGGTTTTTTCTCCCTTGCTGGTTCGCTCGCGCCCGCGTTGCTTCTCTCTCCTCGCGTCCTTTGGTTTCTTGGCATGGATTTCTTGAGGCCCTCGACTGACTTTGTCGCGTGCTTTATTTGCCTCCTTTTTTTTTGGAGGAATTTACTTCAGTTTGTTTGGCACTGTTTTACTTGTTTTCTCAGAGTTGATGTGACGTTTCTTGATTTCAGGTTTGCACTTCGTTTAATCTCAACTTTGTCTGAGAATCTGGCTCAGAAAAATTTGGTTACCCGCCCTTTCAACTTCGTTTCCCACCCTTTTTCGTGCCAAGGTTTGAGACAATTTCAATGCCAATGCACAGGTCAGAAGCCGATATCGTACGTGAAGTGGCACTTAGTCTATGATGCTACGCTTTATGGAATTTGACTTAAATTCATCCTCAGACAAAATTGGCCGTATTTGGTAGGATGTTTTAAGTTTTGGTTTCTGTTTCGCGTAGGATTTTGTCGCGCGTTTCGCGTTTCTTTGTGAGCTTCGCTCCAGGCCTCCCTGTTGGCTCGAGTCAGAGGAACAGGACAGCAGTGTGGCTTCACCCAGCGAGACCACACAGTTTGCCGGTGACGACAAAAGGAAAACACTTAAAGTGATGTACCTTTTTGCTGGGCATCAGCGCCACTCTGACATCGGAGCGTTCCTGAGGAAGGCGGAGAAGTCGGGAAAATTTCGTTTGGTGCTGATGGAATTCGATATTGAGAGGTCACCAGATCATGATTTGACTGATGACGCATTGTGGGACAAAATTTTCACCCTTCTTAAGGAAGGGAATTGGGTGCTTATTGTATCACCTCCACGTAATACTTTCTCCAGAGCCAGATTTCAACATCAACAACACCCTGGCCCCAAGCCCCTGCGTACACGTGCTTGGCCAAAAGGCTTCCCTTGGTTATCTGACAAGAATAAATCCAAGGTGCTGGAAGCGAACCTTTTCGTTGAAAGGTCTTTGAAGGGTTGTGAAATTGTTGCAACAACCGGAGGCTTCTTTATTTTGGAACATCCTGAGGATCTCGGGACAGTGCAGGCAGAACAACCAGGCTCCATTTGGCAATGGGAAGAGTTACTGGATCTCATTCCCAAGCTTGCTGCAGTTTGTTTTGCAATTCAACAGTGCCATTTTGGCGGATTGACCCCAAAGCCGACAAGATTTTTGGTGAACATGAAAGTGGACGACCCACGTTGTTACATTGCTTTGCCACAGTTTGATAAGTCTGGATATTACAAAGGTCCTCTCCCAAAAGATTGTGGTCACATACACCACCACAAGTTAATTGGCAAAACGGCATCACGCTGGAATACTGCCCCAAGTGCCTCTTATCCTGCGAAACTTTGTGAATTCCTGGCGAATCTCATTCTCAATGCCACGGCATCCTGCGGTGGGGGTCCTGAGAATGGGATTCCTACTCAACCTGAAGTGAAGAAACGCAAGCTTTCAAATAACATTTCTGCTCAAGTTGAGACACGTGATGTTGATTTGAGTTGCAAGACAGCCAGGAGCTCAGGGTCTGGTAATGTTGTTTTTGATTGCAGTGCAGTTGATGCAACAACACTTGGGAAGGCACATTCAAGTAGTGGGACAGCTGACAGAACTTGCAACAGGGAGAACGACCCGAAGGTTGGTTCAGTTGGGGAGCAGATTGTGGTCTCTGACTCAGAAGGAGAACATGAGACGGTTGGTAACCGAACATACAGCAGTGCTGATTTGCAATTTGACATGGATGCATGTTTCAATACAGGCAGACCCATTCAGGTGGAATGGGATCGAACACAGCGGGGGTTTGTAGATGGATTTGGATTGTGCAGCCCATGCAGATGGAAACCACACCAACGCGGCACCAGACGGACGAATGACATGATTAGGCTGGCAGATGACACTTTCAATTTACTGGTTGAAGGCGTCAAAGAGTCAATACTGGACTGGAGGTTGGAAGCGTTCAAATTGGTGACTGGTAAACTCAAGCAATCTCCTTTCACTTCAACAGCACTACAGAAGGTCAGGTCAAAATGGTTTTCACTGTTGAAGGATCCGAATGATGCCGCAGTGTTGGATGAAGGACAACCATTTTTCCTAAGAGCGTTGTCGCAGTGGCTCACTTGTTTTGAGGATCCAGACGCTCACTGGTTAACGGGTGTGGAGGATTCATTTTCAACTGGAGTTTGTCTTGGCGTTGAAAAACCCTTACCTAGATCGAGACAAGTTTTCCCTGAGAAACAAAAACACCGTAAACTGGATGAAACTGAGTTCATGCCAATCGCAGAGAACTACTCTTCAGCACAGATGTCGGCGAAAGAGTTGGAGGATAAGTTCAAAGAAGAAGAGATGCTGGGAAGGATGCACCCATCGAAACTTGGTGTGTTGCAAAAGGAATACGGCAGTTCCTTGAGAGTGGCATCGATGGCGGCTATTGCAAAACCTGATGGGACGGTACGACCACTTCATGATGCAACACATTCAGTTATGGTTAATCATGATATAGTATATCAGGACAAGATTGACTGCCCTGGCCCACCAGAGATTGCTTCGATTGTGCGTGAAGCGACATCTACAAAAGAGGCTCCATTCTGCGTGAGCGCGGACATCAAGGCGGCGCATCGTCTGGTCAAGGTGCGCAAAGTGGATTGGGGATACACATGTTGCAGAGCAGATTCCAATTCTGATACTGTTTGGGTTAATCACACTGGAACATTTGGAGTATCGTCAGCTCCGTACTGGTGGGCAAAACTTGCGGGGTTGCTGGGACGCTTCGTTGGATTTTTATTCCATCAGCATTGGATGATGCAGATGATTTATGTGGATGATTTACATGGGGTCTTCATTGGGCCTGAGAAATTCTTGTTTTTGTGGGTGTGGGTGCTGGCCTACGAGTTGATTGGTACACCATTTGGCTATCACAAGTTCAAAGGAGGATATGCTTCAGAGTTTGTTGGATTCCACATCAGGTACGATTTAGCAGAAGTCGGGGTGTCGACGAAACGAGGTGAGTGGCTGTTGTCTTGGATCACAAACGCGAGAGCAAACAAGTTTGTAGTGCCACAGCCCGCGATTTTGCGGAGCTCTTAGGGCGCCTTGGATTCATTTCACAACTGGTCACGTGGTTGAAGCCTCATCTGGCTCCATTGTTTGCTTGGTCTGCTGTCACAGCGAAAGGCACAGTTGGGCGTTTGCCCGAGACCATCATCTTGACACTTGACTACATTGAGAGAGTAATGAAGGAGGAATCATTTTTGGTCTCAACCAAACGACCGACGATTCTGACGGGAGAACGTTTCAGGACAGATGCGAAGTGTGCACAGGGTTACATTGTTTTGGCTGGTTGGGACATGCAGACGCGGAAGTGGTTTGCGTTGAAATTGGGTCCAGCGGAAGTTCCGTATTTCTTCAAGAGCGATGGCAGCTCTCAATGGGCATCGACGGCGGCGGAGCTCATGGCTTCTTTAGTTGCGCTGCATGTGTTTGGTTGGCTTGCACCCAAGCGTAATAGAAAGACCTTGGACCTGGCACTTACAGCTGGCACTGACAACCAGTCGAACGAAGCACTCTCCTCGAAGAGATCCACGACTCGATGGCCACTAATGGCTGTGAACATGCAATTGTCATCATCGCTTGCGAGGGCGAGGTTGTCTCTGAGTTTGAAATGGCGCCCCAGAGAACAGAATGTGGAGGCAGACCAACTGACCAACGAAAATTTCGAAGGCTTCCCGGAGGAAGACAGGCTGGTCATAAGTTTTCATGATTTGGATCTCACAGTTTTAGATGGGCTTGTCAGGACACGGTCCGAATTTGTTACGGCAAGAGATCGTGAGAGGGAGACAGCAAAGACGGTTGGTGGTGCCACAAAGAAAAGGTTCGACAAAACACCTTGGTAAGACTTGGTATCACACCAACCTCTTCTAAAGTTGGGGGTGTTCTCTTGAGGTTGTTGTGTTCGAGCTCACTGGAGCAAATTTGGATGGGCAGCTTGTTACAACGTTGACAATTCAATTTACAGCTTGGTTGAAATTGCACTACAATGGAAACTGGAGAGAAAATTCAAAGGTTGAAACAATCAACCAAATGACAGGTGCTGCCCATTTAATGGACGAGCGCAGGTATCCACCAACCATGTGTTGAAAAAGGATGCGTGAGCGTTGGAATGTCGTTGGAGCCATTCTCACTGCAAGTGCCATTTCACATTTCAGTTGTGATGTTCAGATGTCTTCATTTTGCTGTCGTTTTGACTTGCGTTGTTCGACATGTCGATTTGATTTGATTTTTATTTGGCGCTCGACGTTGGCATGTTTGATCTGGAGATCCTCACCTTCCCAAAACTATGTGTAATGTAGACCCACGATGAGGAAGCCAACGCCACGTTCTGTGAGTTTTGAAGCTCCAGTGGGCCCCATTGAAGAGCACAAGTACCATGACAAGGATGCTGAAGATGTGATTCAGCAAGCGGAGAAAGAAAAGAAGTTGGAGGAGAAGAATGTTGGCATGACTGCCAATGACCCTTTGCTGCTTGCATTGGAACAGAGATCAGAGGAACAAAAGCAGAAGCAATCTGAGAGGTTGCAGCAAACTTCAACTTTGCCTTTGGAGGTCCAAGCTCAAAGTTCAGCGGCTTCAGGTTCACAGCCAGTGGCAACTGAGGCTGACGATCCAGGTCTCATGGTTCCAGTGACGCCTCCCCGTGAGTTTGTGATGGTGGAAAGCCCTAGAGGTGGAGCAACAACCAGGGACACAGACCATGGTGATGATGATCCTGCGTTGAAAAGACAGCGTGTTGAGGATGCAAAGAAACAAAGAATCAACCAGATGAAACTTGAGTATGAAAAGCGTCTCTCTGCAGTCAAGATTGAGTACAAGGAGTACTTTACAGTCGATGACTATGGAGTTGAATTGGATGTGAATCAGGAGGTGGAAGATAAGGATGATGTTTGGGCTGGTGAAGAAGCAGTCCAACTCCAAGGCATTCCTGAAGAGCTTTGGAATGACTCCGCGGTTGACAAGGTCCCTGGAGTTCCAGAAAGATGGATTGATGATTTGGCTGACAAAATCGAAATCCAGCGCCTATGCAACATGGAGGTGCTGATTCCTGCAACTGCATTTCAAGGTGAAATCACTGGACGCCTCACAACCAAATTTGTGAGGGACTGGCGACTCAAAGACTACAGTGAAAATGGTTTGGTGCGCAAAAGATGGATGCGCGGTTCCAGATATGTAGCCCGTGAATTTGCAACAGCAAAGAGGTTGGACACTTTCAGTCCGGCAACTGGAGCTCATACAAGCAACCTTCTTCCTTTGAAATACTTGTGGATGAAAAGGGAAGCTGAAGCCCTAAAGAGCAAGGAGGAGTACGAGGTGGTCATGGGTTGTTTGGACGTGAAAGATGCCTTCTTACAAGTTGAGCAAAGTGAGCCGGTGCTGGTGCAGTTACAAGGTCAGCCCTATGTGATCAAAAGAAACCTTCCAGGCCAGAGACTGGGAGCAAAACAGTGGTTTATGCACTTGAAAGCGTTCCTGCAGAAAACTATGTCGTTTGAGTTTTCTTCAGTTCAACCCTGCATGGCTCGAACTGATCAAGGTGCAATTCTCATCCATGTGGACGACATTTTGTTTGTAGGACGCAAGTCTTCTTGGGACGTTTTCCTGAAGGAGATGAGTCAGCAGTTTTCAGTGTCACATGAGCGTTTGGATGGGCCTGGGACATCAATCAAGTTTTTGCGTCGAAGAATTACTGAGGTTGAGGATGGTCTCATTTTGTCTCCAGGCACCACAGTGGAAAAGGTGATCAGAGTGTTTGAACAGCATTTTGGTGCAGTCAGGCAACAAAAGATCCCTTGTGACAGCTCGATACAATTGCCTGACAACTCTGAAAAGCTGAATGCTCAGGACGCCAGTGCTTTTCGTTCAATAGTAGGCCTGTGCCTCTACATCAGCAGGGAGCATCCAGATCTGATGTATACCATCAAGGAATTAGCATCAGTTATGTCAGCACCAACGATTGCTTCTTTGGGTCATTTGCGCAAGCTGGTTGGTTTCATGAAACAGTTGGGGGACATCGGTGTGAGACTTCATGTTCCTTTTCCTGGCAGTGGAAAATTCAATTCAGGATGCGAGGCCAACTGGGTGATTGAAAGCTACAGTGATGCTGATTGGAGCTCCAATAGGAGCCACCGCAAATCAACAAGTTGCGGTATGCACTTTGTGAATGGAAGCTTTGTTTACGGCAGCAGTTGAAATCAGAAAGTCATTTCATTGTCATCATGTGAGAGTGAATTGCATTTGCATGTGTGATTCTGTATTCATACGAGCTTGCTGTGAGTTTCTTTTTGGTGAAGAGGTCAAACGGTGCAGTACACTGACAGCTCAAGTGCAAGGCAGCTGGCATGTCGACAAGGAGCAGGCCACATACGGCATTTGTCTGGGAAAATTTTGTGGGTCCAAGAACGTACCCAAGATGGATCCACAGATTTGCGTCAGGTGCCAACTGCTGAAAATGTGTCTGATATTGCAACAAAGGTACTTTCACGTGGCAGACTTTTGTACCTCATGCACGAAACTGGATTGGTGTATATCCCCTCATTTGAAATGGTTGGTGAGGAGGAGACGGCAAATCACAAAGCAAAGGTTAGAAGTTCAGCGCAGATCAAAAGGATTGCAAAAGCAGTTTACAGAATGTCATTGGTTATGGGCCTTGGGCCATTGGGTGCCATGGGACAGCCAGATGTTTGTCCTGATGGATATGGCCAGACAACCTGGAATGGATTCTGGATTTTTGCTACGGTGTTTTTCTTTACAGCTGCGTTGACAGTGCTTGGTATGGTTTCATGGCGTGCATGGAAACGTTTGCAACAATGGCGCAGCAGTTTGGAAAATCTCATGACTGTGATGCAAAGGGAACTATATTCAGCACAGGTTCAATTGGCAGATCACTATGAGTATGCTGCAATGTTGAATGAGCGATTGGATGGAGCCAGCGAAGCCAATGAATCGCTGACCACTCGCGTAGCTGTGTTTGAAGAAGAGACGCTTGAAACTCTGGGTTCATTACAAGATGAGATCAGTTGTGTGCGTTTTGGATTGATGGAATATGGTGGCTTTGTGCGCCGACAATCCCTTACAAGAGAGGAGAGAGCATACATGCTATCTCAGGAAAGAGGCAACTTTGTGATATTGCAAAATCCTTTCAACCATACTCAGTGCAAGGATGACACGCACAAATCACTATGTCAGAATGTTTTCACTACATGGAAAACCCATGAACAGCAGTGGAACTACCGCTGGATTTCAGGCCCAAATCTTGTGGTCAAAAGAGAGCGCCGCACTGTTTCGCATTTGTTTGCATGGTAGCGGAGCGACTGTTTTTCTGATTTGCCTTGCAACGACAGGTCACTGGCTGTCAGGTGCATCAATTTGGTTTGGAGGACGAGCGGCTTTGGACTGGTTTTCAGGCAGCTACTCACAGACTCCATAACTGACTTTGGGACTGACTTCAGCTGGTAACATCAACATAGCTCTGGCAATACAGGTGATTTTCCAATTTCGGCTTGCGCATTTGGTTTCAGTTTGGTTTACCTTGTTCAGCTTGGCACTTTGCAAATTCTGGACTTGAGGGTGAACAAATGGCAGCTCTGGATCCGACAATCATCCAGACGGCGCTTTTGCAGGTGGCCGAGGCCACGAAAGCGGCCTCAGAGGCTGCGAAGGCTGTGCAGTTAGCGCAGCAGCAGCAGTCCAAAGGTGCCTCTGGATCTTCAGGACAAGCGGTTGTTGACTGGAGCAAGTTGGTCAACAAACCCCCATGCTTTGAGCACAGTACAGTAGAGGCTGAAATAAAGGCCTTCAGGGACTGGAGCTGGCAAGTGACTCAGTATCTTGCCACCATAGACAGTGCGTATGATGATGAACTTAGAAAGGTTTTTGAGAATCCTTCTACAAAGCTGGACATGGATAGCGCTTCACTGGAGACTCGTACAAGGGGCATGAAGCTCTATGGCCTCTTGGCGTCTTTGGTCAGAGGAAAGGCGCTCAACATAGTGAAAAGTGTTGGAAATTCGGACGGCTATGAAGCCCTTAGACAG